GGATCACCGAACTTTTAATATTTTTTTCTCTAAAATAGCTTTTTTTCCAGTCATTAAATCCTTCGTCATCAATCTGAGTCTTATTCTCCAATGGACCAAATGCTAAACAGGCCCGCAAACCCGCAATATACAGATCTTTAACTTTAGGAATAAATCAGCCAATTTCGGTCATTCATTTCATTATTTTTCATTTAATTCATTTAATGATGTCACTAACATAACTTTCGAAGGCCTGTTGGTCTAGTGGTTAGTGACCCTGACTGCTATGCCGGAGGTCGTGGGTTCGATTCCCACTCAGAACAAATGTTTGTGTGATGAGCACGATCATTTGTTCTGTGTCTGGGTGTAATTTATCTATAATATTTATGTATTTAGAAATATATAAGTATGTTTATCAGTTGTCTAGTACCCATAACACAAGCTCTGCTTAGCTTGCTAGATGGCGTTGTGTGATAGTTGTGGAATATTATTATTTATTATTATTAACTTTATTATACATATATTAATGGTAAAAAATGCAGACGTAATAAAATTTAAGAATATTATTAAACACAATTAATTTGCTCGAATACAATAAGCACATCGTGTAATGATTAATTTTAACCGACTTCAAAAAGGAAGTAGGTTATCAATTCGGTGTATTATTTAATGTTTTGTACCTCAGAATTCTACAATTTCCCACTCTGATGTCAATTTTTTCATTACATACACAGCTAAAGATGTCAAAGTAGGTAGAGTTTATGAAAATAAAAAAAATATATTTTCCCAAGTTTTGTTTTTGCGTATATCGACAGCACTAAATGAGCACTAATTGATTATCTCATATCATTATGTGAGAATCCACTTGGATGTCAATGTTTCATCACATACTCTGCTAAAGATGTCAAGGTAGCAGTTTACGGTATTTAAAAAAAAATAATTTCCCAAATCCTTTTTAGTATACCGACAGCACTAAATGAGCACTAATTTATTATCTTATATCATTAGGTGATAGCCCACTCTGATGTCAATTTTTTCATTACATACTCTGCTAAAGATGTCAAAGTAGCAGAGTTTATGAAAATAAAAAATATATATATTCCCAATATTTGTTTTTGCGTACATCGACAGAACTAAATGAGCACTAAATTATTATCTTATATCATTAGGTGAGAATCCACTTGGATGTCAATGTTTCATCACATACTCTGCTAAAGATGTCAAGGTAGCAGTTTACGGTATTTAAAAATAATAATTTCCCAAATCCTTTTTCGTATACCGACAGCACTAAATGAGCACTAATTTATTATCTTATATAATTAGGTGATAGCCCACTCTGATGTCAATTTTTTCATTACATGCTCTGCTAAAGATGTCAAAGTAGCAGTTTATGAAAACAAAAAAAAATATTTTCCCAAGTTTTGTTTTTGCGTACATCGACAGCACTAAATAAGCACTAAATTAATATCTTATATCATTAGGTGAGAATCCACTTGGATGTCAATGTTTCATCACATACTCTGCTAAAGATGTCAAGGTAGCAGTTTACGGTATTTAAAAATAATAATTTCCCAAATCCTTTTTCGTATACCGACAGCACTAAATGAGCACTAGTTTATTATCTTATATAATTAGGTGATAGCCCACTCTGATGTCATTTTTTTCATTACATGCTCTGCTAAAGATGTCAAAGTAGCAGAGTTTATGAAAGTAAAAAAAAAATATTTTCCCAAGTTTTGTTTTTGCGTATATCGACAGCACTAAATAAGCACTAAATTATTATGTTATATCATTAGGTGAGAATCCACTTGGATGTCAAGGTATCCATCACATACTCTGCTAAAGATGTCAAAGTAGCAGAATTTATGATATTAAAAAAATATATATTTTCCCAATATTTGTTATTGTGTATATCGGCAGCACTAAATGAGCACTAAATTATTGATGCTTCTATTTGTTGCTGTATTAAGTGCTTATCGATTTAATAGGTAGAACACTGCTAGCTTAATTAAAAGCTAGCAGTTTTCTAATTTTTGATAAAGCTATTTTGGCGTGAAATTTAAATTTGCAGCACTAAATTAGCACTAACTAATGAACACTAAATTATTATCTTATATCATTAGGTGAGAATCCACTTGGATGTCAATGTTTCATCACATACTCTGCTAAAGATGTCAAGGTAGCAGTTTACGGTATTTAAAAATAATAATTTCCCAAATCCTTTTTCGTATACCGATAGCACTAAATGAGCACTAATTTATTATCTTATATAATTAGGTGATAGCCCACTCTGATGTCAATTTTTTCATTACGTGCTCTGCTAAAGATGTCAAAGTAGCAGAGTTTATGAAAATAAAAAAAAATATTTTTCCAAGTTTTGTTTTTGCGTACATCGACAGCACTAAATAAGCACTAAATTATTATCTTATATCATTAGGTGAGAATCCACTTGGATGTCAAGGTATCATCACATACTCTGCTAAAGAGTGCTTAGTCTGTCAAAGTAGCAGAATTTATGATATTAAAAAAATATATATTTTCCCAATATTTGTTTTTGTGTATATCGGCAGCACTAAATAAGCACTAAATTATTGATGCTTCTATTTGTTGCTGTATTAAGTGCTTATCGATTTAATAGGTAGAACACTGCTAGCTTAATTAAAAGCTAGCAGTTTTCTAATTTTTGATTAAGCTATTTTGGCGTGAAATTTAAATTTGCAGCACTAAATTAGCACTAAATGAGCACTAAATATTTAGCAAAAATTGAAGTGATTTTGCCCAAATGACCATTCCAGCTTAACAGACCTTGGTATACTGATTTACTCAACATTAATACCTATATTAAATTAACAATTTTATATTTGTGTAATATTCCATAACGATGATGATGATGATTAGTTATATGTCTGATATAAAGATTGTTATAGGTGATAATTTTAGTGATACACTCTTGTGAATGAACTTTATTTATTTTTCTAAATGCTTTAACCAAAATTGTGTCTGCTGTTAAGCTGACTGAATGTGTTAGTGCCTAAATGTGAACCAAATGACAGTCCCGTTAAATTAAACTAAATAATGGAAACCCTACGGTCTATTAACTTTTCCCGTCACCGCTTGTTATTTATGAGTTCTTGAGGAGCGTAAAACTTAAATAATAATGCGGGGCCTCTTTGACCTTAATATGGCACGAGAAGGGTTAAGAAAAACCCGAAGTTTATTTCAGCAAAAAATATTGCTTTGTGAAAATTTTAACGCGGCGCGGCGCTAAACTGCTTAAGGACAATTAAGGTTATTCACAATTGTTTATTTATTTATTATAATATGTAGATAATAAAATAAAAAAGAACATATATATATACATACATATATATATATATATATATATATATATTACAAATAAAACAAACATCGTCTTGATGGTGGAGGATCAAAGATCATTTCGTTCCTAACATGTCCTAACAGCAATTTTATAATAAAGACCAAAAAGACATGATGACCTTGTATCTACGTGTTAAAAGTAAAATATATTGATTTCTTATATTTACGCAAACACTACACATTGAACAAAACCACTTTTACGGATTTCATCGCGTTTAATTTACTTTTTTCATAGTCGAAGCTGAAGGTACTCTCCGGGTTATATCTAACATCGGGACGTCGATCACCTCAGTCCCCCGTGACCATTGGTGCTAGAAAGAATCCGAAACGTCGGGTATTACAATTAAGCAAATTAAACGTGATGAAATCCATAAAAGTAGTTTATTCAATAAAATAAGTTGTTTTTGGTACAGTGATCCGCCGCAGTGATGTGAGGTGTGGTGAGTAAATCTCTCTTATAATCATTAACTTTTGCTTACAGCTGTAAAGTCCTGTGGATTGTTATGGGACGATAATAAGGAACAAAAAGAATAACAGGAGTCATTTATTATAGTTTTCATTATTTAAGCTAGATAGATCCATCACAAGGTAACTGATCTCCATTAAATCAATATCCTCATAAAAGTGCCTAATCCCTAGAAATCCCATTTTTAAATAAGGAATTAGACTAAGCAAAATCGTTCGCAGAAATCATAAAACTTAGAATCTCTAACGGACACTAAAGCAGACTCGGAATTTCCGAAAACAATCAACAAAACGTCCATCCGATACATAAAAAGAACAAAGACACAAAACCTCCGCATTCCGAAGTAATCGCCGGTGATTCCCGAAAAAACTCCCAGGTAACCGATCCCGAGTGGTGACGTCCCGACTCGCAGTTGGCTGCGCCATTTTACCAGCAGTGTTAATAAGGTATAGATACGTCTACTACATTTAAAAATTACAAATAAATACATATCAATACCGTCCTAGTGAAAAGTGCATCAAGTAATTTTTAATTAATATAAAATTCTATTAGAGCCGTGGTAGCTCAGTGGTTAACGCTCGCTGTAAATATAACAGAACGCGAGTAACCCGGGTTCGATCCCCGCCGGCACCAATGAAATTGTTAGGGGAGCCAGTGGGAATGGTAGTCAGTGGGCAATGCGGGTCAGTTCAAAATGATTTGAACCTAAAGCTTTACAGAATACAGCTCTGTCGCATGGGGTGTAGCTCCGCACCCCTCCCGCACTGGCCAATAAGCCGGCCCTCCACTCACGCTCGCGTCATCAGGAATAACACATGTGTCATAGAGGAGGAGCCGTTGTAAAATTTTAGAAATTTCGATCGAAAACGTGAGTATCTATATTTGTTACTTTTGCATATAAAATAATCTTAAGGTATAGTACTAAGACTAAACTTATGTTTATAATTGCAATTTATTAGATTTTTTGGTGTTTTTATTTAATAATTCAAATCTAGCAAACAAACCGTCCTTGGGGTAATGAGAGTTAGTTGACCCTCATTCCCCGCATCATTTTTCATTATAAATAAACATTTTTGTTCATTTCAGACGTCAAGGAACTGGATTAGAAAGACCTTTAAAGCGAGTTGGACTGTAGGCGACTTGCAGTCAGCTGCTGTATGCATGAGACAAGGCGGGAATGCGCAAAGTTGCCGAGGAAACTCGTATTCCTTTCAGCACATTACAAATAAGGATAAAGAAAGATAAATTTAAACCTCTAAAATTAGGAAGGCATGCCGTTTTTAACGAAGAGCAAGAAAATATACTTACAGAAAGTGTTTTACAATTAAGTTGTTTGTTGGTTTAACGACATATTAACTAAGAAAAATAACATTTCAATGTGCTGAAAATTTAAAGCTATCTCATAAATTTAATAGAGATGCTAAAATGGCTGGCAGGGACTGGATCCAAGGATTTCTTAAGAAAAATCTACGAATAAGCATTCGAAATCCTGAAGCTGTAATTATACAGAGAATTGCAGGATTTAATAAAACCGAAGTGACTAAATCCTCTGATGTTCTCTGTGTTTAAAATATTTCTGCCACCATAACAGATTTAAGAGTTAATGAAGTTTCAGATAACCATTCAACTAACAAAATTTCAGAAGCAACAGCATCAACTAGCAGTAGGAACGTTATAGGACCGCAACCTTCTACAAGTGTTGATATTACAAATTATAAACCAAATGATATTATAAATCAAGAGAACAATAAATCCGACAGTGAACCTCTAGCTAGCGTACTTTCACAACTAATACCTCTGCCTAGCATTGATAAAGGTAAAGGCATAGGAAAAAAACACATCAATCAGGAATTCTTACTGCATACAAGAGGCAAAGTAATTAAGAAGATAAAAGAAATTAAAAAGAACTTATTTAAGTCAAGTTCATCTGAAAAATCGGCTGATGAACAGGTTCCGTATGACGACAGTGCCTTAGAAAATATTGAAATTCCGCTAAACATCCAGAAAAATACTCAGAAAGAGCGTGATCAGTCTGTGTGCACGATATGCCTCGAAGAGGGAATACTGAGAGAAATCTGGTACCGTTGCCGTCTCTGTGCTGGATGGGCTCATGAGGCATGTACAGGATGTGATGATCCAAATCGCTATCGCTGTGATTTTTGCATTTAACTAGATTTATATTCCATTCTTTGTTATGATTCCATGGGGTAACCATTTCTAAGTTTTGATTTTGTTAATTCTTATTTGTTTGTTTAAAGAGTTTTGTTACTTTTTTTTGTTTCATAATTTTGACTCTTATTCCCTCATAGACTGACCTTCATTCCCCTTACATGTGGGTAATAGGAGCCAAAATGACTTTTTTGGTTTTTTAATTATAATTATGTTTATGGTAATGATAACCAAAAATACTTAAGTAACTCGATACCTGAATAATTTTTAAAGATAAGTAAATGTGAACAAATTATAAGACTGATTATTAGTGTTTATAATAATGAGTTTTCCTTAAGTGACTCCCAATTCCCCCAACTCCCCCTAATTGCAATTTTAAGTGCTGATTTACCACGTGCTCGGCGGTGAAGGAAAACATCGTGAGGAAACCTGCATGTCTGAGGAATAAGAAAAAAAATATTTCGAAGACATGTGAAGTTCGTCAACACGCATTTGGGCAGCGCGGCGGACACTTCCTCGCCCTAAACCCTCTCAGAAATGAGGGGAGGCCTGAGCCCAGCAGTGGGACGTATATAGGCTGTAACTTTACTTTTTTTACTTTTATAAAATTCTATTGCTTTTGTGAGATCGCGTTGGAATATCTACCTACTAATTTAAATCATTCCGTAGGTGTCGTAAGAGGCGACAGGTCCAAACTGAAACAGGAAATGAGCACTAGCTTCTTCGAGATAACAACTGAAAATTGTTAAAAACTGCGGTTACCAACCTGCTTGTCAAAGCGTAGCAACTATGACAATATAAGGCAATCCATGGGGGAGGTCTATGCTCAGCAATGGACTTTTTATAGGCTGTACTGATGATAATGTTGATGTGTTAAATGAAAATACATGTTTTAATTAATATCTCATTCAGAAGAATAAAAAACGATTAATTAGAATGGAGAATGCAATTGAAATTAAAAAAAACATTTGCACAAAACTATTCTGTTCTTAATTTTTGCAATCCTATATAATATGCCTAGTTTTTTTTAATTATCTTTACAACAAGCATTGATAATGATATGAATGATAGACTAGTATCAAGAACCTAGAATATAGTATCAAGAAAACACTCTAATTAAAGGCAAAACATGTGGAAACAAATATTGACTCTGTATCCATCCGTCTGTACCCATGTTTTAGCGAAATAAATGGTTTGATTTGATTTAGTCCATGTTATATTTCCTAAAAAACTATTTTATATTGCTACTTTAAAAAAAAACGGTTTGAAAACAATTTTACGTGTACGTCCAGATGTTGACGCATCTATATGTTTATACGACTGCATGTTGCCGGACTCACCGTACCAGGTTTGTTTAGATTATCCTTTTTTGTGCTGTGCGAGTCGTGGATGATGCTTTAGTACTCAAGTCGATTACGATACATGCGTCGTTACGGACTTTGTTATTACTACAAGAAACACAAAAAATAAAGAACCGGTCAAGTAGCCTTGATGTGAACTTGAAATTTATTTATTAAACTATAAAGAAAGAAAAATAAATAGGTTATATAAGAAAATTTTTAGATTAGTATTTCTGTATACACTTAGAATAATAAATTCTAAGTGTATACAATAACGTGACCTCCTTATTAGTTCAGTTTATAAAGACTGTCACAAAGGTCCAGTCCTAAGTCATCAGTATAGTCTATTAATCGTAATATGATACTTAAGTACACTATAATACTCGTATTACTTTGGTAATAAGCTCGAAAAGTCACAGTAAAGTTTTTACTTATTTTACTGGATAAATAAATCGACAGTTGAAGATTACAGAGATGAAATTAATAAGGTATTATTTATCTAACCATGGAACTGGCACTGATTATTGTAATGTAAATATGATTTAAGTTTAAACTATACACGTAAGTCGACATTCCGATGCGAACGAATATTTTAGATTATAATATTTACGATACAATAATTATCTAATCGCTTTTGCTATTTCGGAACTGTATTAAATGTGACTTCTGGAAAAAGAAATATGGTGAAAGCATAAATGAGGAATAGAAAGCGAGAGATTTTCGCTTTCTAAATTAAAACATGATCACTATAATTTATTTCCAAGAAAAGTTTTGTATTCTAATATATTCTTCACAAGCTGACGTAGTTATATTTTACCGAATTCATCAAATCTTCTCTGAATACGTGTACTTACTTACATAATATATAACTACCTATATAGTTCTTTTAAATTGACCATATTAAATTGTATTGTTAAGCTATGACCATATATTGGATCTTATAGAGTTATTACTTATGACATTCTTGGGCCGTGGTAGCTCAGAATTAAGCATTTGCTGTGAATATCACAATTTGTGAGCAAATCGGATTCGAACCGAACACCAATGACATTGTTAACTCAGACGAAATATTTCGTCTGAGATCGTTAATTACAATTTTAAATGCAAGAGGCCTGTGTCCAGGAGTGGGACGTAGTAGGCTGTTACTTTACTTAATACAGTTACTTATTATAAACGTATAAAAGTAGCATCTATGTGTTCAATAAACAGATCAGATAGGCACTTAAATAAGCGACAGGATAAGATACATCAAACACTTTACAATTTACAAAAAAGGGGCATTAATATGACTTTTCATTTTTCATTACAGCCTCTCACAAGTCAACTGTTAGGCCTCTCCCAGGGAATGACACAAAGGACACTCCTGATCCTCCTGAATTTCATACCACGTTGTATTTCCATCGAATAGAGGGCCGCTCTAAAGTTCCATTATCGGTACAAGGCATAATAAGTTAGATACTTTTACATAACCTCTTACTAACCGAAACGATGGGGACAGCTAGTTAGGCAGTCCTAACAAAAACAAATTTAATGTTCTAAACGCTATAATAGTAAAACATATTATTATAGATAGAAAATACAAATGTGACGTAAATTAAGATTAAAGAACCTATCTTAATGCCCCAAAGGTTAAGAGCGTAGCTCGACGAATGGTCGTAATCTCCCATCTTTGATTTTTACCTTTTATAATCCGAAGCACATCGTGACTGCACCAGACGAAAGCTGGGAAAACTCAACCATCGGAATAACTCCGCCCGTACAAAATGTTTTTGTAATATAATTTTAAGTGGAACCTCACGACTAAGAATATTTGTTATTTGTGTTGTGTAGTATTTCATGTAGTTATAAAAAAAAGTGATATTCATCTTACTTTAACCAGTTACTCGTCTCCACAGAGTCAGTAATTCATTCTTGAGGCAATATATACGCTTTTACAATAAAATCCTCGAAAAAAATTGAAATTTGTGAAGTTCAAAAACTTTATTAAGGAATTTATACATTTTATGGATAATCCCTGTTAATGAGGTAATTGCTATCAAACTATTGATTAATAGTCTGATATGATTTGTATAGTTAAGTGTGTAACATAATACATAAATGTTAATGACTATTCTTTTACAAGTATAAAATTTTCCACTGGGTTTCTTACTGGTTCCAGCCAAGACAAAGATATTTTCCGAACCAGTGGTAAATTAACCATATCCATCTCTCCATCTCATCCATATCTCTGAAGTACAGAGTATGATTTATAATCTATAATGATAAAAAATTTAGGTACTTATTTATATTTCTATAATATCCGTCTGCTGAACTGTGAACTATGTATTTCGATCGATGAAGAAAATGTAGAGTTGAAGACAAATACAAAACTCGAAAACACCGACGATATTCTTTTTTTAAAACTTAATATTTAAACGAGAAATGCTGCAGAAACTGGTGCAACGCGGGCATAAAGGTAAATAATTAATATTAAAAGTAGCGTGTTTCCCCGTTCCTATTTTTAGATAAAAAAGTTATAACATACTAACATTATATTTAAGGTTTTTTTCGACAATATGTTGAGTTCTACGGAATTTTCAAAACAAAATCTTTCGTCCCTTTCCATGCCAACAAGATAAAAAGATTCATAAAATGAATTCTATAATCATTCATCACACACTATGAGTACAGGTTGCCAAAAAACAAGTGAAATAATTTTAGTATTTCTTCGTGAGATCGTGAGAACAATTTTGCATAACTAACACTTACAAAAAAGATATACTTGTTAAAATTTAAAAGCATTACAAAAACTAAAAAGACTCAATGGTATCACTTGAAGATGTCACCACTTGGACTTGCTGCTGCGCATTACCTATTAGAGCAATTGAGTCAAATTGTTTTTAGTCTTGCTCCAATCAACACAAAGTCCATAATAGCTTAGCCATATTGAATTGGCGCTGAAACATAAGAATTTACGTTCCAAGTACACACACTATGAAAAAAAGGTAACCCAGCATTTTAGAAAATGTTAAATACATTTTCCTACATCATTAGGAAAAAAATACTACTTAAGTCTTCGAGAGCAGATCCCTTTTATAATTTTTTGCCTCAACACGTGAGTTTTATTGAACAACGTTTAAAAAAGGTATAATATTTTTGTAAAGAAATTAGACAGATCCATTGTGACCTATTAGTACTACCTATATTCATCTTGTAAGCCTATGATTTTGTAATATATTTTATTTGTATAAATCCAAAAACCTACTTTTTATTTACTTTATTATAATATGATCACCATGTAGTGGCGGTGTGAGAATACCCACTACCCCATATCATCCCGTGGGTGTCGTAAGAGGCGACAGAGGGACACAGAAAGGAGATGGGCAGCAGCGTTTTCATAACAGGGACTAAAAATAAAAAATTGGGGTTGCCAACCCGCTTGCCAAGCGTGACAACTCTGGCAAATAGCCCCCTATGAGACTTTTGTTCAGCAGTGGACTTTAATAACGGTAGCGGTGGGTATACAATGTGATGGATGCTTTTTTTATTTATTACAAGCCAGTGTTTCACTAACTTGTGGTTGGCGGTGATGAAACCATATGTGGAAAGTTACAATTTTTTAGCAAAACAAAAGTCTCTTCACTCTTGCCTTAAAGACATCTAGATTGTAATCGGATAGAA